GGAGCGCTTTCGCGATTGAAACGAGCTCTCTTCAGAGCAGTCAATTCCGTCGATTGTAAAAAATTAAAGTTTAATAAGTAGAAGAAGTTAGTGTTCCGGTACTCGAAGCCGTTTTTCTCTCTCTTGTTACGCAGATGGAGAAGGCATAACGCGTTGCCATTTACTAACCTATTATCAACTTATCTAGCATGGCAAGTGTACATATTAAGCGTAGATATGGGATAGAATTGTGTTGAGACCGATGGACGCCAACACACCTGGTTTCAACTTCTTCGGGTGAAATTACTAAAGAATGTAAGAGATCAACTTCCAAACATGGCCTATTTGTAAATGCCGTGATAATTAATGTCGCGCTTATCAAACAGCAATATGACGACGGAAGAGAAATTGCGTAATGAACCAACGCAACTTAGTCTTTTCGGCATCGGTAAAGCGATTCAAACGGCAGAAAAACAACAAAAAGACGGGATTTCCAATGTTTATTCTGCGCGAGATCCATTATCTATTACAAAATCTTGATGTTCTGTTACCGGTTTTATCGTTATATATCTGTCCGGACTTGGCCTTGTTTTCACAATGCCTCGCACTATTTCGGCCAAATATGTCTTTACAAAATCTTTAAGTCTTTACCAAATGCGGCAACTTATTATTTCGGCCAAATATGTCTTTACAAAATTTAAGTCTTTACCAAATGCGGCAACTTATTTTGATTTATCGTCGACTCAAATACCACCGGCACTCGACCAAACTTGTGTCAATCTTAGCCGATAGGATTGTCGACTTGAGTTAGAAAAGTAAATTAATATTTTCGTGAGTGCAAAATAAATGTCACAAAATGCATTGTTTGGCGATATAACTTTGTATTTTCGGAGAAGGCATGTCATATAAGTACGATATTAAAATTATGCGCAAATAATTAATATTTGATCTAAATTTATCGCAAATAATGTTATAACATTTAGGCCGAGAAATGATTTAATGTAAAATGAAGCATGGTAATCGGAATATCGTCAATAAGTCGGCATCAATAATTATTATAAAATGCTAACTAGGTAAAGTCGGATAATGTAAAAAAACGGTACAATAACAAGTCTTCGTCGCGAGGCAAGCGCAAGTATAATCAAACGAGAGAAGACGCTCGTCGTTGATTTATAAATTAGAAACCCGGAATTTTTATTTACTACGAAACTCGTATTAATACGATTTAAAAAAAGTCAACTATCATTTCATAAATATATTACCACTTACCAGTGTCGGTAATGATAGAATTGATCGCATAAAATTGGGTGATAAAGTTGATAAAGGAAAATCAAAGCTAACACAAAAGATAAAAATCAGAATAAAATTAATTTGAATTCACTCCTTGATATTTGTCTTTAGCATCTGTCGCCGGCGTGTAGTACTGGCGGAAATATGAAAACCAAACTGTCCCAACTGTCGATGTCCCATTCGGAATAGAAGTGGATTAAATTGGTTGTTATGATAGGTTTAAAAGTGTGAAAAAAATATCGCAATTACGGGGTCATTACGTAATCGATTTGGCCGTAATTACGGAATTGATTTTTGTCAATTACGTGCAAGCCTAGCTACAACCGAAAAAATTCAGACCGGCCGACAATTACGTTGAAGTGACGTAAAATAATGTACCAATTAGTTAATTTACAAAATTGCACTACATTAATAATCATGACAAATGTAATGCAGGAAACATATTTGCTTCAAAATAACACCCGGAGCATCAATTCCAGTAGGACAAAATATATACGACACCGTGATTTGTTCTGGGGCTCTTGGAGCAAATCATTTGGAGGAAGGATGTATTGTTGTGAGATTGTAAAATATATTTTATTTGACTGTAATATAAATATTCTACTTTAGTCGGTTATAATTGGATTATGATTTGAATGAATGCTATGCCGGCGACAACATCTTTTGGTAGATGAAAACACTTTGGATTTAACGTATTAAAAAAGTTTTCAGGTATTTGGTTTTGGAGTTTGGAGGAGTTTGGTTAAATCGCCAGTCACCTATTGTTACTGTTTCACTTTTTCTTTTTTCGATCACATGTCGTGAATCTCCTTGAAAAAAATAAGATGAGAAATAGTAGTTTTTTTTTCAATGAAAAATAGATTTTAGTGTCGTTTTAAATCTTCGAATGTTCAAAGGCAGCACGATCCGTATACAATACATATACTGTTCAACATTATTATTAGAACCAAAAAGGATTATTTACAATTGCGGTAATATATATTACAAGTTTTTCTCCGGATTTGTACGTTAGCTTTCGGACAGAGTAATATACCTTTTTTTGTTTATGATATATTTTAGCGAATGATTCATTGCTTGAAACCTGGTGGAATTCTGGTGTTCAATACGAGAAAAACGGAGGCAAACAAAGTATTTGTGTTGAAACTTGACGCAATGATGAAAGAACTTGTAGATATCGGCCAATTGAGCAAGATTGAAGTGAAAGAAGTGTTGCAATTTCGAAGCAATTGCAATGAAACTGGCGACGCCATGATGGCATGGCTGTATATATACAAAAAGTTGTGAATTTTGGGTTTCCCTAATATAATTAAGAGAAAAACGTTAATAGGTATTTTCCAAAGTAGCTTAAAGAAATAAAGAAAGAATTAATTAACAAAATGCAGTTTAATTCAGGTTCATTTTACTATGTAGCAGATTGGTGAGGATAAGGTACATTAATACGACAAAATTATGTTGAATATAGAACGATGATTATTTGAAAATTAGTAGAAGGTGATACGCGTACATGTTAAAATTGTATAGAACTGAGTAATATTGTGGGAGAGCGAGGATATGATAGGATATGCTTTTAAATTAGAATTTGAAATTTGTTCGAATACTGCCAAAAAAAATCTCCGAATTTTGTAAGTCTTGCTCTTAAATCTGTGCTTATTGGACACTAAATGGTCTTATGAATCGTTTTGTTATTACTTATCGATTTTAATCGGTAAGTATGTTGATAGGTATTTGTCTGTCTCTGTGTTTGTCTGTCTGTCTGTTAGATGCACGCGATATCTCACGAAAGCGAGATTGAATCTGCTCCAGATTTTGCATGTGCATTCATCATCTGTTGGACCAGAAGCCTATTGATTTTGAATGAATTATGTCGTTATGATGTTTCACAATTATTCAGTCTGATATATGATTTTTGGTGACAATAAGATCTAGAAAAATCGAGATGATAGAAGGTCAATAATAATAAAGTTTAGTTCATCTGAAAGTTAAATGGAAATTCAACAAAGATTTGAAAATATCTGTAATAATAATATCAATAACATTTCGTTTGAAATTTCAATTGAAGAATTGAAGACATCTTCTTGCAGAATATACTTAAGAAGTACGAATTCGCTCTGTAAGGCTAGATTAAGAGAACTCGAATAGAAAAACATGACCATGTGATGATATATAAACAGCGCATCCCTCAGTCTTGATTGTACAATCATGCTGCCCAACACGCGCGTGGCAAACACCGACGTTCCCTGATCTAGCCTGCAAATACTTGAATAATGTTGATGACAGATTAGGTAACATGGAGATTTATCTCGGGAACGGAAAGCCGATAAGACAGCCTAATCATACGGCAAACTAAAACAAATTAAGGGATATACATATTATTAATGAATTGGATAAGTAAATATTTTTTCTTACCTAACTTACACTTTAACTGACTTAAATTGACGATTTATTATATTTTTTCCTTAAATTGGGGGGGAAATTCCCTACTTTCAGCACGATGGAATATTTTTTAAATTTAATATGTGTTTTATATATCTCCATCAAATACACTGTATTAATGAATTGGATGAGAAAAAATTATTTCTTGCATAAATAGGTTATTTCCTGCGCTCCCGGAAGCGTACAATCTAGAATTCTAAATCTAAACCTATCCTGGTACACGTCCAATTTTCATGTTGTGCGTCACCTTTGTGCTCATATTTCGGAAGTACCGAATTTCCCTACTTTCCGCACGGTGGATTATTTTAAAATTTCATTATGTATTTTATATTTGTCCACCAAATACACTGTAATAATGAATTGAATGAGAAAAAATTATTTCTTGCATAAATAGGTTATTTCCTGCGCTCCCGAAAGCGTACAATCTAGATTCTGAAGCTAAACCTATCCTGATACACCTATTATTTTCAGGTTGTGCGTCATCTTTGTACTCATATTTAGGGAGTACCGAATTTCCCTACTTTCCGTACGGTGGATTTTTTTAAAATTTTAATATGTATTTTATATTTGTCCACAAAATACACTGTATTAATGAAGTGGATGAGAAAAAATTCCTTCTTACCTAAATTACGCTTTAATTAACTGAGTTAAATGGACGATTTCTTGAAAATTTTCATCAAATTGGGGGGAGTTTCCCTACTTTCCGCACGGTGGAATTTTTTTAAAATTTACTATGTGTTTTATATATTTTTACCAAATATACTGTATCAATGAATTAGATGAGAAAATATTCTTTCTTGCATAAATTACGCTTTTAACTTAAATTTTAGATTTTGTCGATAAATGAGAATCTGAGCAATAATTCATTTTACCGAGAAAAAATTGGTGTTTCAATCATTTTTATTTTATTATGTTTCAGATCTGTAGTTAGTTTCTAAAAGGGCGAATCGCCTCATTTTTTGCATCCATGTAGCCGCAATTAGGTGATTTCGCGACAACTGTCCACACTTTTTTTGCGATCAACTCGTGGAACATGGCGGGTTCAAATCTGGAAAAATTGGTAACTGTCCGCTGGAAGTTTCCGCTAGCTTTACCAAGGTGATTGGAAACACGTGCGCAGTGAGGTTGTTTTTGTCTGGCTCATCGTCAGAGCTTGTTTTTGTGTTTCCATGCTTTGTATCCGTAAGTTCTCGGTTAGAATTAACGATAATGATATTCAAATTATCAATTGAACTTTTAATATGATTTTTAAGGCTGTACTATAGTGACATCGTGGTAGTAACAGTTGCTTTTTATTAATATTTTAGGTTATTTACAGGTTAGGTTAGGTATAGGTTAAATATAGTTTGAAATAGACTTTGTTGCTCTGTATTACACGTGGACTCAAAACAATTAGCACGTAATTACTGCCATATCTTGTATGAGGTATAATTAATTATATTTTATCGCATACGCCATACAGTATTGTGAATTGTAGTATATAGTAGTGATATAATACTCTAAGGCTTTGTTAGTCTTAAATATAAAGAGTTTAGTTTATTATCTTTGGCGGACCGTGGATGATTTGAATGTTTCTCTTTTCATTTCAAGTTTCGTTGTATTGATTACTATAAAATGAATTGCTTCGATTTCATGTTGAATTCCATTGTGAAACATTGATCACATGCAAGAAGCCTACTTGCGGTTTACAAACTCGAATTGCATTAGAGCACGAATAATTCTTGAGTTTGGGACGGTGGTTTCGACTTTCGGCGCGTTGTTAAAAGTTCCCAATCACTTAATTGACGTTTGAAATAGGCCAGGGTACTGAATCAAAGCACGAAAAATTGATGATAATGGCGATGAATCTTGTATTTACCTGTTTGTAGCAACGCTTGAACAATAATGCAAAAATTACCATGATTTATTAAAAGGGGCTCCAGCCTATTAGGAAGACTTCATACTGATACATTTCAAGAGACAGACGCCATGGCGCAGATTCGTACAAAAAAATTTGAAACAGTGAGATCAATCGGTAGAAATTTGGATCATTCTTTCAGTTCAGAATTTATCCCGACATTAAAATTATGAATTAAATTGCGGCATTTTTCTAGCATTAATATGAGAAGAAGATTAATTTGATGTTTTCTGTCTATTCCCGCAGCCGCAGCATTGCTGGCGGTTCGGTTGACAGTGTGTGCCTCTTAACGCTGTACAAGTATCGAATATTTGCTGCTAGTGATAGAGAGAAGGAATCATTGCTCTGGAACAATGAATGATATTCAAGATGCCTGGGGCAGAATTGCCAATGTCATTTATGCTGAATCGCCAGAAGAAGCAAATAAGGTAAAAAAAATTTTAATCTCCTGTATTGATGTAAAAAGGAGTCGAAAATTTGCTCCGGCTTAGATTTTGGTGAAATCGCTCACGTTTACTTTATAAGTCTTAAAATTGAAGCAGCACAAATGCTCAATTGTAAAAATAGCCTTCCATTTCTAATTGAAAGTAAGTTTTCATCTGCCGGATGTCGGAATTGTAGCCTATTTTATGTAAAACTACAAATAAAGCAGGCGGTTTTTATCACGACTTGTGTATGCGCGCGTTATTTCAACTTATTTGTCGTGATAAAACTACACGACAAAAAAAAAACTACGGTTTGAGAGGTTCAGAAACTAAATCATCACATTTTTCAGAAGTTCGTTCAAATTGAATTAGCGATGTCCGGACAGACATTGCCGTACACGTATTAAAGCTGTGAATGAGTTACTTGCGAAAGCGATTCAATCATAAAATCATATCCAATGCCGGCCAATATTTTAATGGTTATAATGTTGCGGCGATGGCGTTTCGGAGGTGACACGCAATATATTTGTAATATTATAATCGTTTTTTGGTAATGCATATGCAGGCGAATCCGTGCTTTTGGCCACGAATATCATAAAATAAAGTATTAGACATAGCCTAGGTCAGGGTGTTCCAAACCCAGGCCACATGTGGCCCGCCGCTTCATTATCTGTGGCGCGCGTCACATTCGGAGAGTAATCGATAAATAACATTTGGTGTTGTTTCGTAATAAAATTAATCAGGAAAATCTTTTGACATCTTGTTACATCACTAATGTCACTGGATTGACTGGTGAAATGGCTAGCGGAGGCAACTAGCAAAGTTGAATGATGTGCTTGGCAGTCTAAATTATTATCTGGCTTTCTATCTTTGGTCGGGAATATATGCTAATAATATAGGCATCATAGAAAACTAAAATTTGAATGCGGATTCTATTAGCCTGGAATGGCTATGTCTGACAACTATGTGTTTGCACAATAAAAGTGTTTGTTTTTCATTGCACTGTTACCTATTCTTTGCACTATTGTGGCCCGCGAACAATGCAAAAAAAATTTTGTGGCCCGCGGAGCCGACAGCCTTTGACCACCCTGGCCTAGGTCCTGATACAATGCTGCATGTGTGAAGCTCAAAAATACACAATACCATCTAAGAATTATTAGACTTGCGGAAAAGCTGCAGCAGCAAATTTCTCATTTATGCAAACTTTGATCAAATATCTTCTATTTCTATATAAAAGTAATATTTTTGACCAAGTCATTAACAAAACATAAATATAATAACATATCAATTTTCATGTTTTATTTTAGGCATACACCAAGTGGGCTGACAAATTCGACACCGACATTAATTCGACACTCTGTTGCGTGTCCAACGAGGAACTTGCTGAAAACTCGTTAATTCATATCAAAAATAATGAATCTGCACAACTTTTGGACCTGGCAGCCGGTAAACAATTATAAGCAGATCGGTATTGACTCGCTAACATTTCATAACACTATCAAATCCACCAATAACAATTATACTAGGCCTATTCTCTAAAATTATGTCCGACAACTCTCTTCCCATTCAAAGGCACTGGATTGGCTGCAGAAGCATTACTAGATCATGGATACAAAGGAGTAATGGATGCTGTTGAATTGAATGAAGATATGCTGAAGAAAGCGGAATCAAAAGGAATATACAGGTAAAGCGAGATAGTGGAGTCTAGTCATCATTGTCGCTGGGCATCGCCGTTTTGCTTTTTTATTGTTATTTATTGTGTGATTGGGAACCTGTCAACGAATGAAATGCTAGTCATCATTTTCGGACATATCAATTTGACTTTGCTATCTCTGATTGCATAGAATTACCAGTAATCAAAGGAAAAAATTAATGAGGTAGTGTCCCTTTTTTCGGTGACCTATCGCTTAAATACGCCATCGTATTTTTGTATGGTTTGAGTGAGTTTTGGTATTTCAGCACTTGATCCGACTTGACTTAAAAAAAACTTATTGATAATTCCAGCTACAACCGAAAAAATTCAGACCGGCCGACAATTACGTTGAAGTGACGTAAAATAATGTACCAATTAGTTAATTTACAAAATTGCACTACATTAATAATCATGACAAATGTAATGCAGGAAACATATTTGCTTCAAAATTACACCCGGAGCATCAATTCCAGTAGGACAAAATATATACGACACCGTGATTTGTTCTGGGGCTCTTGGAGCAAATCATTTGGAGGAAGGATGTATTGTTGTAAGATTGTAAAATATATTTTATTTGACTGTAATATAAATATTCTACTTTAGTCGGTTATAATTGGATTATGATTTGAATGAATGCTATGCCGGCGACAACATCTTTTGGTAGATGAAAACACTTTGGATTTAACGTATTAAAAAAGTTTTCAGGTATTTGGTTTTGGAGTTTGGAGGAGTTTGGTTAAATCGCCACTCACCTATTGTTACTGATTCACTTTTTCTTTTTTCGATCACATGTCGTGAATCTCCTTGAAAAAAATAAGATGAGAAATAGTAGTTTTTTTTTCAGTGAAAAATAGATTTTAGTGTCGTTTTAAATCTTCGAATGCCCAAAGGCAGCACGATCCGTATACAATACATATACTGTTCAACAATATTATTAGAACCAAAAAGGATTATTTACAATTGCGGTAATATATATTACAAGTTTTTCTCCGGATTTGTACGTTAGCTTTCGGACAGAGTAATATACCTTTTTTTGTTTATAATATATTTTAGCGAATGATTCATTGCTTGAAACCGGGTGGAATTCTGGTGTTCAATACGAGAAAAACGGAGGCAAACAAAGTATTTGTTTTGAAACTCAACGCAATGATGAAAGAACTTGTAGATATCCGCCAATTGAGCAAGATTGAAGTGAAAGAAGTGTTGCACTTTCGAAGCAATTGCAATGAAACCGGCGACGCCATGATGTGGCTGTATATATACAAGAAGTTGTGATATTTGGGTTTCCCTAATATAATAAAAAGAAAAACGTAAATAGGTATTTTTCCAAAGTAGCTTAAAGAAATAAAGAAAAAATTAATTAACAAAATGCAGTTTAATTCAGGTTCATTTTACTATGTAGCAGATTGGTGAGGATGAGGTACATTAATACGACAAAATTATGTTGAATATAAAACAATGATTATTGGAAAATTAGTAGAAGGTGATACGCGTACATGTTAAAATTGTATAGAACTGAGTAATGTTGTGGGAGAGTGAGGATATGATAGGATATGCTTTTAAATTAGAATAAAAAATTTAAAATTTGTTCGAATACTGCCAAAATCGATTATCAAACTGAGCAAGAAAAAAAAATCTCCGTATCTTGTTACCAAGTCTTACTCTTAAATCTGTGCTTATTGGACACTAAATGGTCTTATTAATCGTTTTGTTATTACTTATCGATTTTAATCGGTAAGTATGTTGATAGGTATTTGTCTGTCTGTGTGTTTGTCTGTCTGTCTGTTAGATGCACGCGATATCTCACGAAAGCGAGATTGAATCCGCTCCGAATTTTGCATGTGCATTCATCATATGTTGGACCAGAAGCCTATTGATTTTGAATGAATTATGTCGTATAATTAGCGATAATCAATAATTATTGATTAATTAGTGACAGGGCACAAGGTGTCACTGTGGAGTAAGACCGCTGTTTTGGGGGATCCCCTAACTGTCGATCGTTAAGTCTTCGGTCTCTGACCAATATTCTCGTTGTGTTGTTGTTAGAATTTACTTCTTGTTGTTACCGTATGAAAAATCTATTTTCCCATTAACTACTGGACCAATTTCTTTGAGATTTTCAGTGGTTTAAGATCGTAATTTTAAAAGACTAGAAGGCTATTACTCTTATTTATTTCTAAGTTTTCTATAATGTCACTTATAATAGCAAGCGCTGTCATAACAGTAACAGCAATGGAGGTGTTGAGAAAGGTTGAATATAACCTGAATATCACGCATTATAATCATCTTAACCTTCCGCAAACACGAGCTAAGGATGGAACATATGAAATAGTTCTTTTGCATAGTGAGGGGGAATAGAGAGTTCCGAAATAGGCGAAATGAGGAATTTAACCGAAAAATGTTGGCAACTGGTTCATTAAACATTATTAAGCAACAAAACAGTGGTGAATGCCGAACATTACTTGTCTGTCTGTCAACCTCATCTTGCACTGGTATATGTCAATTTTATCGATTTAACTTGCATACTATATGTGTTCCCGTTTACACTGATATGCAGAATCTAATACCGTACTATAGATTTGTGGCGTGACGCTGGGATACGACTAAAATGAAGATAAGATTCCCAGACCAATTGTACGTAATTTCCAAGAAGACAATCGACTGGATCCCGTCATATGTTGATTTTCAATCTCCGTCGCAATGGACCTATCCCCGACCTTTGACCTCCGAAAAAAAATTCCTATACTTTACCATTGCAAAAATTTCGGGCCTTATTTAAGAGTGGTTCTTCCATTAAGACGTTCCTTTTCATTCGACGAAAACATTTGTTTCTGGGAAAACAACATCACCAATCTAATTGCGAACAAAATATATCGTTTTAAACAAAATAAAGTAAATTGCTTATTAGAGAAAGTATCATAGAAACTTCGCGGAGGTAAGTCCCCTCAACTTCTGACCGAGTGTGCGCGACATTGCTTTACGAAAATTCTCATGATAATATTTTTGCTTGATATAAAAGGTTTCCAGTTTTAGACCCGTATTCTGTAAATGCTGCCCGGTGATCTCTTGAGCGTCGATACGGTATGCTATATTATGACTCTAAATTCCATCTGTTTATTGAAAGTTAGGAATGTATAATTTGTTTATACATGAAAAAACCTACTCTTCAGAATCTGTGCAAGCCACTCCCGATATTTTGATAATAATATCGCCATTATTCACGTCGTCTTCATTCCTATATGCCCTCTGTTTAGTTTTCATTAGTTTAATATCTTTCACTCTCTTTGCAGAATTGAAGCGCTCTTCAGGCGTAGTCGTCATTTTATGTATTAACTAAAATTTGTTTGTTCGTCAAAACAGATGAAATAGTAGACCTTCATTTGTTTGATATTTGAGAAATACGGCTGGCCTCTTTATTCACAGCTCTTTTTACATCTTTTCTGTTTTGTAAATATTTTGTTTTTTTGTTGGAGTGGTAATATGGCAGCAATCAAGTATAAACTTATTCCTATTTCACAGACGCAGTAGGTTTTTTTTCTTTGTTTTAAAGTAAGGCAAAGTTTATAAAATTAACATGAATGTTATAATATTGTAATCCAATTCAAAATGAGAAGTCCTACATCCACAAAAAACTCAAATTATACCCATACCCAGTGGTGAGCTGTAGCCGGAACGTACGGGAACGGCGTTCCGGTTGTTGGACATTTTATTGCATTTGCGTTCCTGTTATTGAAATCAAATTATTCTAAAAAGTCTAGTTTTTCTTGTAAACTTAGTTAATAATTTATGTTTTGTTAGGCCATAATTTGCAATTATTTTCACATCACATCACGCAAATAATTAGTACAGCAGTAACGTGTAGCAGATGTTTCCTTAAATTTTGACCCTATGAAAATTTATCCTTTACCTTTCTAATAATAACATTCGTATTGAATTGCTATGAATATTCTTGTAATTTTACACAGACATATTTCAGATCATTTCTTCATATTTCATATCAGTCCTTCGGCTCTATCTTGAGACAGACACAAATTTCTGTAAACGCCCGCGTCATTTTGTTTCATAAGTACACTTAAATATATTACATTTTTGCGAATTACGTGCGTTCCGGTTGTTACGATTTTTCCAGCTCATCACTGCCCTGAACCACAAATCTTTGTAGGTACCGAAGTGTCGTGCTGGCTCCTATCGCTGCTCGAAGCTACGATAATACCTGAGTTAAAAATGTGTACTTAAATAACACAGGCCACTTGCACATTAATTTGAACTTTTTCCCACAGAAACTGTGCTAATATTGTACTGTTACATTGTCATCACAGCCAAACAATGAATCTTGTCTGACGGAAAATTATCGTGGGCCTATTCGATCTATTTCCGAAATAACCTGAAACAAATGATTTTGACGCACCATTGCCTAAGAAAATTGTTGTGTTTTTGTTATTATTCCTTCATAAAGTGAGAATGTAGTGCAGTAATACGACAAAATGATGTTAAATGTAGGTAGAACAATGATTATTTAGAAATTAGTAGAAAGTGATACTCATACATGTTGAAATTTTATAGAACTGAGTAATCTTGTGGGAAGGCGAGGATACGATAGGATATGCTTCTAATTTAAAATCAAAAATTAAAAATTTCTTCGTGTATTGCCAAACTCGCTTATCAAAGTGAGCAAGATAAAAATATCCATATCACGTTACCTAGCCTCAAGTTAAATTACAAAATTGAAAAAAAAACACAGATAAAAAACGCATTTACAGCAAAATAATTATGAACTAATTTTCAATTACCGCATTTCGATATACATCGGTATATAAAGTATACATTTCACGTCACTCGATGCTGAACTCAAGCAAAAACAGTGTCGCTGAATCGATGGAAGTGACAGTTGAAATATCGTGTGCTTATTGGACACGAAATGGACCATGTAATTTCTCCATGTGCTACTATCTCCAGCACGTCATCAAAGACCGCCTCCGGTTTTCGCTGAGGCAGTTTTTGAAAATTCATAAATAGAAAACAAAGACAACTTAACGTATATACTACAACATTTATCAAAAATATATAAAATCAATTTTATCAAAAATATTTTCCGTCACAAGTCACCCTCCTTTAAATGTTTTTTGTACAGTCCGGAAAATGGCAAACGAATAAGACAAATCTGACGCAGCATTATTTCTCAACCACAATGCTGTCTCTCGAGTATCGATTAACTCGGGAATAGCTAGATTGGAAACACGTGCGCAGTGAGGTTGTTTTGGTCTGGCTCATCGTCAGAGCTTGTTTTTGTGTTTCCATGCTTCGTATCCGTAAGTTCTCGGTTAGAATTAACGATACCGATATTCAAATTATCAATTGAATTCTTAATATTATTTTCAAGGCTGTACTATAGTGACATCGTGGTAGTAACAGTTGCTTTTTATTTATATTTTAGGTTATTTACAGGTTAGATTAGGTATAGGTTAAATTGAACATAGTTTGAAATAGACTTTGTTGCTCTGTATTACACGTGGACTCAAAACAATTAGCACGTAACTACTTCCATATCTT